TTCTTAAGGAGAACTATAGGTGCAATTGGTTGAGCAATGGTTTGACATGGTTGCCTTGAAATATCTCTACTCGTAGTGTTACACACACACGCACCTAATAACGAAAAGTGAGTATCAATCAAAGCTTTGTAATTCTAGTGTCAATTCCCATACCAAACACCGAAATGACATTGTCAACTTATGAGAACATCGGTTCTAATATCGGTTACACAGAGGGATACAGCAGAACAAACACTCCGGTTCATTCACTGCAAATGACTTGTAATTGCAACCTTTGGTCAGGCTTGATAACAAGCTTCTAAGGCAGCTTTTGATTAATTAACATATTAATCAGGTAAGTTAACTCAAGCGTTACCGAAGAAGGAAATCATGCTTCTTTGTGCTCCAAAGGAGGCTACGAATGAACGACCATTTCTTGAATCACTCTTATGTCAGTTATGCAATACTGACAATGGCGGCTGCTTATTTGCGTCAACGCATGACGTAGTAGTGAATATTAAAGACAAAGAACTAGAAGATATGCATTTGGGTTACACCATCAATGTAACCCTGGGCAAGCACGCTGAGTAACGTTATTTATTACCGAGCACTGAGAGAAGGTTCGTTGTGCGAAGTGCTATTATTCAAATGCGATCCGCCATCGAAGTCTGTAATCTGCAAAGTTGACATATGCAATTTATTTTAATTCCGACACCGGTTTCCCCTAGACTGTTATTTCGGGCAAAGGGTTTCAATATGTCACCACTCGACGCCCGAAGCATAGACAGCGAGCTGCCCGCTTCAGGTCCAGCACAACAAACTTGTACCGGTCCCCGTAAGCGATGATTGGTGCACATACAGGAAACAGCAGCCTCAACTGTTGAAGTGACCGAGATGCAGTATCCGGTGCCTCATAATGAGGCCCACTGGAAACCGACGATACAGCAGGGTGTACTGCGTAAGCCTCCATTATCGGTATTCATACGGCATCCTCCGTAAATTTGAGATGAGTCCGGTACCGACATGCCGAACAGGTTCCAATTTTTCCACATCGTCACGGGCGATCGAACGGTGGACGGGTAACCCGTGCTCAAAAACTTTTTGTTTCATCATCAAACATTACTTTGTCTTACATAGCCGAGCTTGTGGTCACCATCGCAGCCTTAACCACTGAGGACAAATGAGACATCTGCTCACTGCCGCTGGGTCCGTGTTGCTAAGTGTGTTCCAGTGGTCTCGGTTTTGCCCCAGGTGAATGCCATAAGTACTAACCTATATGTGATATCAATTTGCTGGCGATTTAGGACAGATCTTCTCAAGCTAGTAACGGATGGGTTACTCACCAACGCATCTGTTCAAACAGCTCTGTTCAGCCTGACTAAGTGGACAGTTGGGTGATGACTCTTTCGATTCGTTACAATCGCAGGCATGGAATGGAGGTTAGGTGCCCTGTTGCACGTAAGTACTGCCCTCCGCTTATTATTATTATTCAAAAGTAGCCTACATGACACTAAGACCCTTACATTGTGTGATATATCGCAAGGTCATCAAATGACTGCTGTCGTGCAAAGCAAGCAGGGACTGTATCAGACTCCATGTATAGCCACGTTATTGCAAAAATCTTGATGAGCCCAGCACCACGCAAGTACTTTTATTGACACTGTACTTTCATCTGGTAGTTTTTGCATTTTATTCTCTATAACTCACTGGTATATTGTTCCATACTTCTCTCAGCTCAGTAGTGAGTCCCAAAGTCATTATTCGACTCCGGACATGTCTGTGGTGTTGAAGTGATCAGAAACAAATAATTTATTGGCTTTTTACAAACTGGTAGATGTATTGCACTAATCTAATCACATAACAACCATTCACACGTTATTCACTGTCTTTATTGTGTACTTCGTGGCGCCCGCTTTGGACTAATCCTGCATTGACCAAAATGAGTAACGTCATTACAAATCACGTCAATTCTTCCCAGCTTCTTGGCAAATTCCTCTGCAATTCCGATTAGTTAGGACATTTTGATTGAGCTAACTTTCCTACTTCATGTCTTCTGCATGATTTAAATGAATTCGTTTGCAATCCACCTATCATGGCTGTCAAGAAAGCGACGACGATAACGTTAAGACGCAGCTAGGCATGTGTATAGAGTGAACCTTAACCCTGACAATTGGAGCTATTAGTTGTAGCATCGTAATTTCTGTGCCACACTTGTCTGTGAGGATAAATTAGTCCACCAGCAAAACCTAGCAGAAATGTTTTTGTGTTGACAACAATCTTCTGTACAGATATGTGAACAGCCTCCGGAAGGTGAAGCGTGGGTGTTCCCCCACTTAACTCAACAAATGGCTGTGTTCAAACTGCGGAGGATGCAGCCAACATTCTACGGCTGCAACTTGCTTCAATATTTTGATGCGCTACTAGCATATGCCACATACCTGTCCCATTCTCCTAGACATCAATATTCACACACGTCATTCTCATTTCAGCTACCGTTTTGAGGAACCTGATATGGTTGCGCAGCCATAGTTCCCCCGATGTTGACAACATTCCCAAAAAGCACTTCAGGTAGCAGCTAGGAGGATAGCTGAGCAATTAACTCGATTTTGCCAAAGATGGCTGAATGAACAGTTGGTCCCCAACATGTGGAAACAGAGTATCATCCCACCAATTTTAATGGGCGGCGGCTGTTCAGATCCCGTCAACCATCGCCCAGTGATTCTCCTCCCGTTGTTCTCAAAGGTGATGGAGTCAATCATAGCTGAAGTTGTAATGGGTTACTGAAAGGTTTAATATCATAGCACTGAAATAACACAGATTCCATAGGCACAGTCATGTACTACCAACGTAATGCTTGCGCGTGGCAGTTGGACCGAAATACCCGACAGCTGATATCATCTACCTGGAGTTTTCTAATGCCTTTGAGTGCTTAGATCAATGAAACGTTTTTGAAAAGTTTTATACCTACGAAATTAAGGAGCCGCCCTTGGATGGATCGGAAATTTTCTGCACCAGTGGCGGCTTCAGGTATGAGTTAAGGGTTCATTCTATCATCCTATCGATGTGAAATGCGGTGTTCCACAGTGATCGGTGTTAGAGCCGGGCCTATTACCGGTTTTCAGCAACGAACTCGCACCTGTCATCGAGTCGAATTTTCTGCTTTTTGTCAATGACGTCAAGATATGGCGGGCTGTCGGTTATCAGGACGATTACGACGTGCTGCAGACAGACTTTGACTATGCCTTTGAATGGTCAAAGCCAAATCTACTTCAGTTTAATGCGTACAAATGTAAGACTGCACATGTACGCCACAAACCCACTTACATAAACAAGCTTGGTGACAACATGCTGAAAACCGCCTTACAGGAGCGTGATCTTGGGGTGGTGATGCAAGACGACCACAGCTGTTCAGCGTAGTTCTTGAAGGCGTCACAAAACGCCAACCAACGCGGTGGTCTGTCAAGGAGGGAGTTCGGGAGGTTCGATCCCTCCGTCTTCCCCCAAATGCTCAATGCGTATGTGAGGCCCCAGGTAGAGTACGCAATTCAGGCCTGGCAACCCTGGTTAAAACTCGATCAGGTTGCACTGCATGCTGCACAACGAAGGGCAAGCAAAAATGTGAAGATATTGTTCCATCTGTCATACAATCTGCGACTGGAAAACTTAGGAGTGTACAGCGGAAGTTATCGCCGTCTACTGGGTGTCCACGTTTTGGCGTTGCAGATCTTAAAAATCCAGGTAACACTTGCCGCCACCTCCTGAAACTTAGCAGCAACACAAACAAGTGGAATCACCAGCTGAATTGGCTATCCAATAGTCGGCTGGAATGCCGCCGGTACTATTTTTCTCTTCGAACTTCTCACCGCTGAAACCTTATTCCGACTCAGTTTATTTGTGCGCCCCAGCTACCCGTTTAAAAGAACAGTGGTGTTGCACTTTATACTACGAGTACCGCGGTGGGTCCACTGATGTGAACCTAAATTTACCGACTGCTTTCCCTATACTTTAAATTTTCACTATATATATATGCATATATATATATATATATATATATATATATATATATATATATATATATATATATATATATATATTATATATATATATATACGGTTGGCGGCATCCGGTTCGGGATTGCCTGTCACTGTGGAAAGCCAAAGGACGCCCGTGCCTACAGAGAACCCTGGATGGCTTGCGCTGCATCACCCACAGCTCCATCCACACACCCCATATCTAGTGTAAATCCGAAGGAATAAGACCGCGAGGCATGTGGATGGGAGCCACGTTTCATCAACGGAGCCGGCCCACACTCTTTCACCGGCAAACACAAGTACGCTGTATTTGGGAATCAAGCGCACACACAAGGCGATGGCTGGGCCGTAGTTCGCTCCACACTAAGTGCATGGAGCCATATATATATATAGTGTTACATTCATAATGCTCCTTCACCGCATTTGGGCTAAACCAACCTACACTTGGACTAGGTCTTTTTAAGCTGGATAAATTTCATTCCATTTTATGTAGAGGGGCCGCTTCCAAGAAGGGCTCTGGGGAGCTCTTCGGAGCTAGCTGAGAGCGGATCGCGAAAGACGGCTAGCGACGAGCCTGGGCCCGGAACTACGGAGCGGGAACATGTGGACAGTGCAATAAATCAGACAAATACGCCGCTAGCGCAGCCCACAGGACCGAGGCCGAGCCGATTGACACAGCCCAGAACAAGCAAGTCGAGAGCTCTCGAACGACTCCTGGCCGATCCAAATCGGGTGCAGAGAAGCGGAGATCGAGGCGAAAACAGGAAGGCGGATCTTCCAAGTCAGAGCTCCCGAGGCGAAAGGACTGGCTCGCCTCTAACATCCGTACCTGTGTTGCGTGGTGGGACGGAAATCTAGTCGATATTCGAGGGCGCGCGCGAGACCCTCATGTGCCCATTTTCGGTGTGCAATAAACGTCTACCCCCCTGTCGTGTCGTTTTCGCTACACTGGTGCCGTGACCAATCGCGATGGAGTTGACCCGGTTGGAGCAATTTGCGGCCGGTGACGTGGAGGCGTGGCTCGATGAGTTCGACGGAATTGCGGCTTGCGCGGGTGTGAGGGGGGATGCAAATTTGCTAATTGCTTTGGGCACACGGTTGAGTGGACGAGCCAAGGCGGTGTATTTGCTCACTCGAAAGGCCAAACCCGGTTGTTCGTTCGCTGAGATGAGGGCTGCCTTGTGTGCAGAATTTGGGAAGGATCTGGAGAGAGAACGAGCACTGCAACGATTTCACGCAGCCAGATGGGACGAACAGGAGGATTTGATGGTGTTTTTCCAGCAGCTGGACAGACATCTAACGATTGGGCTCCCCGAGTTAGAGGGCAACGCAAGAGAGCGCCTACTGAAACAGCAGTTTATCCGAAGTCTGCCCGGTCCACTCCATGATCAGGTGAAATTGGCGTCGCTGGTGGGAGACAGCAAAGCGTTGGATCTGGTGACGGTCGCCCAGAATTTGTCGGAACGAGTGACAGTGAGAAGCATCCAGCATGCTGAGTTGGAACAGAAAGTAAATCGCCTATCCGAAATGGTGGAGCAGCTGTTGTCGATAGAGTCTTCAAGCACCACTTCACAACGCAATGTACGGGTAATCCGGAACGGTCGCCGCTGTTTCCGATGCAACCAGAATGGTCATGTGGCGAGATTCTGCACCAACGTCAATGTGCCCCATTGTTTCTCTCTATCCATGCCGAGTCGGTGGCGAGTACCAGTCCTCCAGGTAACTATAGAAGGTGTGTCTGTCCGAGCCATAGTAGACACAGGAGCGGCAGTGTCAATTACGAAGAGGTTCAATGGGGTTCCAGTAAACCCATCTTCAATCACGATGCAGACGGTCGGCGGGCATTCTTTGAAAGTGACGGGCACGCAGCGGTTACGAATCAGGATAGGAGAAACGCTCATCAGCCATGACATGTTCATCGTGGAGGAGACGACCGAAACCATCATCGGAACCGACATCCTGAAACGGCTCGGTGTCACAATTGACCTGAAAAACGATGTGGTGATCGTGGCTAACGAGACGATTGAGATAAACAAGGGGAGAACCGACCGGGTTGGTGCCCTCAAAGCCGTGCCTGATTGTCAGAACCGTGCAATACGCAACGTACTGAGCAGGTATGCCCACTTATTCACAGACGCGGAAGATGATTACGGATTTTGCAATTGGGTTGAACACCGAATACCGTTGATCCCAGGAGGACAATGTAAGCCAATCTTCAGACGAATTCCACAGAACACCGTGGTGGAGATACAGAAGCAGGTGACCGAGATGGAATCGAAAGGAATCATCAGGCGAACGCACAGCCCGTATTCATCACCCGTGCTATTGACGAAGAAGGCCGACGGAACCTATCGATTTTGCATCGATTTCAGAGAACTAAACAGGGTGACGGTGAAGGATGCATTCCCGATGCCTCAGATGGAAGAAATTTTCTCAAGCCTTCACAGTGCGAAGCAGATATCTCTGATTGATCTCCGCTCGGGATATTGGCAACTGCCAATCGCAGAAGAAGATCGCCACAAGACGGCTTTCAGTGTCAATGGCCAGCAGTATGAGTTTTTGAGAATGCCATTTGGATTGTGCAACGCCCCGGCTACATTCAGGCGTTTGTTGCTGATGGTCCTCGCGAACCTGCAAGGCGTGGTTGTGTACGGTGATGACATCATCGTCTTCTCTGAGACGGAACAGGAACATGTGACCAGACTTGGAGCAGTACTGCAGAGGCTGGACGAAGCTGGTCTGAAACTCAGTCGTAAAAAGTCGCAGATTGCCCAAAAGTCGATTGTATGCTTGGGTCACATCGTGGGCAATGGTCAAGTCCATCCACTTCCGGAGAAACGCGAGACGATCAAGTGCTTCGCAAAACCAAAATCCAAGCGTCAGCTCCGTTCGTTCTTGGGAGTGGTGGCATATGATTCAAAGTTTGTGCCCCAGTTCGCAGAGAAGGTCAGCCCGTTGTTAAAGCTGCTTCGCAAGGACGTGCCCTTTGTGTGGACAGCTGAAGCGGATCAGGCCTTTGACCATCTAAAGGCAGGCATAGCAGAAGCCCCGACATGTCTACGGCTACCCAATCCTGGTGAGAGGTTCACTGTGGCTGTCGACGCAAGCAACGTGGCAATCGGTGCGGTTTTGTCTCAACCGGCTGGGGTGGTGGAGTACGCGAGCAGAGTGCTGACGGGGGCGGAACAGAAGTATTCAACAACGGAGAAAGAATGCTTGGCCATCGTGTGGGCGTTAGAGAAGTGGAGAAATTACTTACTGGCGAATGAATTCCGGGTCGTCACTGACCACAAACCGCTCTCGTGGTTGATGACGGCGAAAGACCCGCGGGGACGACTTGCGCGATGGGCCTACCGATTGCAGGAATTCAACTTCACCATTGAGCACGTGGATGGAACGCAAAATGTATTGCCAGATATGTTGTCACGCCCGTGTTTGGACGACATCATGCCAGACAATGCCATACCGGTGCGTGCGATCGCGATGGGGGAGAGGAACCTGCTGGGAGATCAAAGGACAGATGAATTCGTGAAGGTGTTGTGCTCTCACTTACGGGCTGGCACCAAACCGGAGGCTACATCGGAGGAGGTGGAGGAACTCCTCAAGATCTGGGACAGGTTGAAGGTCGAAAACGATAACGTGGTGGTGGCGATAGACGGACGGAAAGTGCCTTTTGTTCCACCGAATCAGCGCGAACGTGTGATGCGCATAACTCATGATGGCGCCCATATGGGATTCGAGCGGGTCTTTGAATTGCTGCGGAGGCGAGTGTTTTGGCCAACCATGAGGAAGGACGTCGCGACATACCTTCGGGAGTGCCCAAACTGCCAAACGAGTCGGGAGATGGAGTCCCCGAGACCGCCGATGCGATCGATGGAGGTTGGTGAGCCACTTCAGTGTTGGGGACTGGACGTGTTTGGGCCCTTACCAGTGAGTCGAACAGGAAACAGATACATTCTAGTGATGATTGACCACTTCACTCGATGGGTGGAAGCCATACCAATCAAGGACCAAACAGGCGAGACAGTGTCGCAAGTATTCGAATTCAATGTGCCTGCAAGGTATGGGATCCCACAGTGTATCATCACGGACCAAGGGCCCTGCTTCGAGTCAAGAGCGTTTAAGTCAGTGTTGGACAAGTGGGGCATCCAGAGACGGCGAACCTCACCGTACCACCCACAAACCAACGGCATGACCGAGCGGTTCAACCGGACATTGAAGACGTGGATAAACTGCACGAAGTTGGCATGGGAAGATGCTTTGCCTCAGGTTCTGATCGCGTATCGGACCAGCATGCAATCAACCACCAAGGTCTCGCCATTCGAATTACTGTTCGGCAGAGAACCACGGATTGCGCTCGATACTTGCCTACCGAACCAGGGTGAGTGGAAACATCCAGCTGAGCATCAAGAGCGACTGCGATGGAAAGCTAGAAGCGAAACCAAAGCCCGACAAGCGCGGAATAAGCGAAATTACGACGCCAGGCATGAGGCTCACAAGTGGAGGCCATTCAGGATTGGAGAACGAGTCAAGTTACGAAACAACGATCGGCCGGATCATGACGGGCCGGGCGCAAGCAAGTTCAGAGAACGCTGGAAAGGCCCCTACACCATTATCGACCAGAAAGCGGGCAACTTCTTAATCGACTGCGGAGGAATGAAACGTTGGGTGAATGCTGCTCTCCTGCGACCATGGTACGAGAGGAAGAAAGGTCCTGGAGGAGGGGCGGGTGTAGAGGGGCCGCTTCCAAGAAGGGCTCTGGGGAGCTCTTCGGAGCTAGCTGAGAGCGGATCGCGAAAGACGGCTAGCGACGAGCCTGGGCCCGGAACTACGGAGCGGGAACATGTGGACAGTGCAATAAATCAGACAAATACGCCGCTAGCGCAGCCCACAGGACCGAGGCCGAGCCGATTGACACAGCCCAGAACAAGCAAGTCGAGAGCTCTCGAACGACTCCTGGCCGATCCAAATCGGGTGCAGAGAAGCGGAGATCGAGGCGAAAACAGGAAGGCGGATCTTCCAAGTCAGAGCTCCCGAGGCGAAAGGACTGGCTCGCCTCTAACATCCGTACCTGTGTTGCGTGGTGGGACGGAAATCTAGTCGATATTCGAGGGCGCGCGCGAGACCCTCATGTGCCCATTTTCGGTGTGCAATAAACGTCTACCCCCCTGTCGTGTCGTTTTCGCTACAGTATGACCTCTCAGGCTGTTAGCACTGCTGAGTTGCAATAAGAAACGGAGCACATGACGTGGGCCATGCAGAATCAAGTATGTCAGTTACGAATAACCACGTAATCGGCGATACTGCCCGCTGAGTACACACAAAGTTCTCAGCCTTTGCTCTTAGATTGCGCTTTCCAATTACGTATTCGAAAACCCGATGTAAAGGCTGCTCCAGTACTTTGAGGTCGTGCTTCAGCCATAGCTGTCAGGCTTTTATTCAGCATTCGATACAGGAGTAAACATGCTCATTGAGAATTTGTAGAAATATAGAGGTCCCTATTTGTCCGAAGGCACATCGTAACAGCCCGACGTGTTGGTTACCAACTTCCGACGTCTCTTCGGATCGTTTTGAGCAATTTAAATCATCCTGAACCAGCACACCCAGACCAAGTTCGACGGAAGATCCCTGCAATTCATGCATTCCGAGTCGGTGTGATCAGTTGATCCGGTGTCGTACGGAGTACCTTGCATTTGCTCACGTCAATTTGGAATAAACTTTGAATTGACAACCCATGTGCCCTGTCCAGATCACTCTGAAGCAGATGCTGGTTGGTACTGATCTGATCTGAAAGCTGCCCCAGAACTTGATGTCGTCAACAAACAGCAGGAAGTTTGAAGCGTTTGCCTGTTCTAGGCAACAATTAAATACAAATAGCCATCGTGGCCCTAGAGCTGCGTCTTGCCGCACACCACCCTCGACTTGTAGGGGTCAGATAAAGAGCTTCGAACAACAACCATCAATTGCCGTTGAAAGCGAAAATTGGCACTCCAGTTTAGATGGCGGTCACGTGTCCCGTGATACTGGAGCTTGGAAAGGAGAATTTGACTGTCTATACGATCGAATGACCTCGACAAATCTAGGTAGATCACTTCAATGCCCACTTCAGCGTCAGCTGAGTCAGTTCAGCTACTCCGTTCGCTAATAAAAATTCACTGTACACAAGCGCTGTTGACGGCAGCCGTACCGGATGTTAAAATGTGATAGTTTATCAGGTAGCGCCTCTGGTTATCGGGAATAATGGGTTCCATGACGTAGAACAGTGTAGGGAGAATAGGTACTGGGTGGTAGTTTGAAGGCTCAGTTCTGCATCTGCCTTAGTGAATAAGAGTTAGTATTCCAGGCTTTCACATCACAGGGCCTTGCTTCTTGTCTAAGCAGCGCTGGAAGAACTGGGCTAAGGGTTCTGCTAATTCTCCTGCTTCTTCTTCCAGCGCTT